GAAATTATTATTCTGATCATCATCATTCCCTTAACATTGTGTTAGTGACACATTTCCCGGTCTGGAAAGGGACAGAAAGAAGCAAGGGAAAAACCCACCAGTACCACTTCAATCTTGTGGAAGAACAGAAACAGGACCCTGGTAATTAATGAGGGAACATAGCGGATTCACTGACAGCATCCTCGTCACTGTGCACACTGGGCAGTTTGAGGTAACCAGGCTACTGGCCCTACTAGTAGATTAAATTGCTCCCTTTATTTAGCAAATTAGCCCTGGTGGTGCAGTGGGTTAAGCATTGGACTGTTAACCACAAGGCTGAAGGTTCAAACCCACAGCTTCTCCAAGGGAGAAAGATGAGGCTTTCTTCTCCTATAAAAAGTAACCTTCAGAGACCCTGCGGAGCAGATCACCTGTGTCCTATAGGGTCACTGTGAGTCAGAATCCACCCAGTGGAAGTGCGTTTGGTTTGTGGGATGGGGGATTACGTAACAAAAGAACCAAACCCAAATTGATTGTCACTGATCCAATTGTGACTCGTAGTGACACCAGGAGTTGCAGAGTAAAGCTGTCCCATAGAAACAGATTGCCTGATCTTTCTTCCATGGTGCCACCGGGTGAGTTTGAATCAGCAACCTTAAGTTAGCTAGCAGTCAAGCACAATTCATTTGTTGCTAGGAACCTTTAGGGAATGAGGAGATGGGTTAATGATCTGCCATTACTACATAATCTAAAAGTAAAGCACTATATTTTGTTTCTAAGAGTCAGTCTTCATTTACTCACATCTCGTAGGTGGAAGAAACCAGTTCCTCATCACCATGTGCCTGATGGCCCACCCCACCACTCCAAAAGCTCCTCTGGAAAACCTCTGCACCAGGCTACAAAGACTGTTTCCAGGGTCAGCGCCTGAGTCACACCTGTCTTCCCAGCTCTGATTCCAGGAAACCTCAGTCCAGGTGTGACCGAAACCTCTTCCCCTTAGCACCCAGTTCCAGCGTTCTTTCGAAACCATTGCGTTCTGCTTCTTTGATGAACTGAAACAGGTGAGTGTGCTTTGCAAATGCCTTTGCTTGTCATTGTCAGGCTGGGGTTCTTAAGTTTCCTGATGAGGACACTGGGACTCAGAAAAATGACAAGATGAATAAGCAAAACTAGTGAAAGACCTGTTTCTCCTCATTAATTACCAGGCTCTTGTTTTTATTTTGTCAAAAGACTGAATTGATCATGGTAGATTCCCCACCCCCTACTCTTTCCCATGACAATTTCAGCAGAAAGAATGAAGTTGTCAAAGACTTCATTTTACTTGGATCCATTACCAACACCCATGGAAGCAGCAGTCAAGAAATCAAACGGCATATTGCATTGGGCATGTCTGCTGCAAAAGACCTCTTTAAAGTGTTCAAGAGCAAAGATGTCAGTTTCAGGACTAAGGTGTGCCTGACCCAAGCCATGGTATTTTCAATTGCTTCATATGCATGTGAAAGCTGGACAACGAATAAAGGAAGATGGTAGAAGAGTCGCTGCATTTGAATTCTGGTGCTGGACAAAGAATGTTGAAAGTACCATGGACTGCCAGTAGAACAAACAAAAGTGTCTTGGAAGAAGTACAGCGAGAAAGTTGCTTAGAAACAACAATGGTGAGGAAGGACCAGACCCTGAGAAGGACATCATACTTGGTAAAGTAGAAGGTCAGTGAAAAAGAAGACCCTCTGTGAGGTGGACTGCAACAGTAGGCTGAAACATGACAATAGTTTTAAGGACCAGACAATGCTTTGGGCTGTTGGACGTGGGGTCGCTATGAGTCGGAACCAACTTAAGGGCACCTAACAACAACCCCTTCTCAAACCCATAAGAAAATTACTAACACAAAGTTGTAGTAATGATGACAATAACAGTGGTGGTGTTTACTGGGTGGGTTCTTAATGTTGAGACATGTCCCTAAGGCCTCCTTGGCCAGCACCATCCCCATCACCCACAGCATCTTGCTTGAGTGGCCTTGTTCTTATGGGAGACATTTATTGAGCATCTAGCCCACCACCAGCAGTCCTGCCTGGGTGGTACAAACCGTTAACATACTCTGCTGCTTACCCAAAAAGCTCAGGTCCACCCAGATGCACCTCAGAAGAAAGGTCTGGCACTCTACCCAAAAAATTAGCCTTTGAAACGCAGTGGAGCAAAGTTCTACTCTGACATGCATGGAGTCGCCATAAGGAGAAATGGACTTGACCATGACTGATTACCAGTGGGTAAACCACCACCATTTCTTGACTATCTACTATTGTCTTTATTCACTCACTCGCTTGCTCTTTTTCTCTCCCTCCCTCTCTCTCTTCCCATTTCTCTCTTTCTCACTCCCCTCCATCCCTCTCCCCATCTCTCATTTATTCCCACTCTACTTGAGTCTTTAATATCCCAAAGCCCAGTGCCGTCAAATACATTCTGACTCACAACCACCTATAGGACAAAGTAGAACTATCCTTTAGGGTTTCTAAGACTCTAAATCTTTATGAGAGCAGATAGCCTTGTCTTTATCCCTTGGGGGATTTGAACTGTGGCTAGCAGCCCAATACTTAAGCCACTGTACCACCAGGTCTCCTTAGAGTGTCTAATAGAAATCTCAAATGGTCACATCCACAAGAGAAATCTTGGCTCTGCATCCCCACCTACACTTCCTTCTTCTCCATCTTGGGAAACGGCACCACTGCCCTCCCAGACTCAGCCCCTATCCCAGGAGTCCTCCGCGACCCCACTCTTTCTCTCATGTCCCCCATCTAACCCATCCAGTGCCTCAGCAAGTCCTGTCTGCTCTGCCACCCACTTCTCAATCCTTCACCCCCAATCATCACCCCCACTTTTACCCCATCCCCTTCCTGCCTTCAATGCACATCCATCCCTCCTCCGGTCAGAACCCTCTAATGGCTTCATACCACCCTCCACAAAGCCCTACCAAAAATAAAAATCTGTTGCTACAAAGTGGATTCTGACTCTGAACAACCCTATACCATAACCGTCCTGAAATTAGCCATGTTCCGAGCTAGAATGTGAGCCACCCTGGAGGTGTTTCCCATTATCTAGACACCGTCCCTGAACCTGAGAAAGCCCAAGTCTCAATCGGATGACAAGGCTTCTATCAGAGCATGGCAGAAACAGACCGCTGCCGTGGTGACCCACCGGACGGAAAAAAAAATCTGGACCAGAACTTTGAAGGGTCTGTGGGAAGCAGAATCAGTGTATGTGGACACCCCTTACCTTCCCACACCCTCCATACCTTCCACCAGACTGACTGTCATGGGATCCTATGAAAAGGCTCTCCTAGGGTTTGGGAAGATAAAAGTAATTTGCAAGGAACTTGACAATGTAAATTCTCTAAGATTTAAATTCAAATCTAACATGTGAATTTGAGGGCAGATGTATGTTGTGTCTGGTTTCCTACAGTTACTTCCTTGCCAACTAGAATCCCCAGTACCTCCTCTGACGTGCTTCAAGTAGTTCTCCCCTGCAAAGGTGGAGGAGGGGAGGGGAGTATGGTGACCATCTTGTAATCAATGTGTTTGAGTATCCAGCAAGTTGTGCCATCTCCTATGGCCCCGGCATGCATGCATGCACGCCTTCATTACTTCATCCATCTCACTGCATCTGTTAGCACCCACCTTACCACAGACCCTGTGGTAGCTTTGCACTAAGAAATGTCACATGGCCCCAGGGTCTCAGTTTCCCCAGGATGATGGAGGGGACAGACATATCAATAAGAACAACAGGGGCTCAATGAAGATTAGAGGGGTGTGGTTGGCACACAATAGGGAGGGGTTTGGGAAAACAGAAGGGCAGGTGGGAGGATGGGAAAGGCATTCCAGAGGAGAGACCAGTATATGCAAAGACGTGGGAGTCGTCAACTATTGTGATGGGAAGAGAAAGCCTTTGATAGAATGGCTGGAGCACAGAATGGGGACAAGGAGGGAACAAACAGAGAGAGGCTACCTGGGGTCGGATATTAGCCATCCTTGAATACCAGGATGTAGCCTATTGCCTTCATCCCTGGACCAATGGTGCTATAGCTGGGATTTAAGCCCAGGAAAGATGTGAACAGGCTTCTGTATCTGTGGTTCTGATGGAAAAGAGCCCTGTTCAGGTCGTGGGTTATGAGTTGGGCTGCTAACCACAAGGTCCCCAGTTCGAATCCAGCAAGTGCTCCAAGGGAGAAAGATGAGGCTTTCTGCTTGTGCAAAGATTTATGCCTTGGAAACCCCATACCGGGTCACTGTGAGTCGGAACTGGCTCGACTGAACACAGCAGGTCTAATGGAGCCACTGGGAACTTGTCAGGAGGGACCTTCAACAAGATGGGATGACCCAGTGGCTACAACAATGGGCTCAAACATAGGAGGGCGCAGGACTGGGAAGTGTTTCTTCCTGTTGTGCATGGGATCACTGAGTCAGAACCAACTGGAGGACACCTAACAACAACACTTCTAACAGAGGCCGTGGGCATATGGTTAAACTCAACTACCAGTCTAAAGATTGGCAGTTCAAACTCACGCTGACGCCCCTTAGAAGACGGACTTGGAGATCTGCTTTGGAAAGGTCCTAGCTTTGAAAACTCTTATGGAGCAGTTCTACTCTGCATGCATGGGGCGGCCATGGGGCAAAATCAACTTACAGCAACTAAAAACAGTTCTAAAGGCGGAATGTAGGGCAGAAAGCAGAGAGAAAGGTAAAGGAAAAGAAGGAAGGAGGGAAGGAGGAAAGAGAGGGAGGGAGAGAGAGCACGGCAGGGAGGAAGGGAGGAAGAGAGGCAGGGAGGGAAGGAGGGAGGCAGGGAGAGAGGGAGGGAGAGAGGGAGGGAGGGAGGGAGGAAGGAAGGAAGGAAGGAAGGAAGGAAGGAAGGAAGGAAGGAAGGAAGGAAGGAAGGAGCGGCAGAAAAGACTACAGTACAAAGTGGCAATAGGCCAGGTTGCAGGGAACGGGCTAGCAGCGTGCGGGCTGGGCGCACTGGCCGGGACTTACCGCGGAGCCAGCGCGCGCCGGCGTGCGTATCCTTGGGGCTGATGAGGCGGCGCTGCGCTGCGCTGCGGCCCATGTACCAGAGCATCCAGAGCAGCTGCAACAGCATGAGCGCGGTGAGAACGCAGAGTAGGGCGAGCTTGCCCACGCCCGCCGCGTGCACGGCCCAAGCCAGCAGCAGCAGCAGCCCGGCCACAAACACGTTCAGCCCATACTGGCTGCTCAGCGCCTCGGCCAGCTTCTGCGGGACGCTGGCGCGCACGGAGCCCCGACGGAGTCCCGGAGACCCTGGTGACTCCATGGGCCCTGACAGGCCCCCCTCCCGGGGACTCTCCAGCGCCCCCCGGTCCTCGGGCATCTTCAGAGCCGGGGTGGCTGTCCTCGCCCGGATGTCGTCGTCCTTTCCCGTCTCCGACGCCTGCACGCCCCCTCGGCCTGCCCCCTCGGTGCCCCGGCTCCTAAGCAACCCCTCCGTGTGCTTGTAGGGGTAGCGCAAGCCAGTCCACTCCGGACCCCACTCGCTGGCCCCCGGACCCTGGCAGCCCTGTCCGCCACCTGCCCTCGGCCCGCCCTCCGCACCTCTGCCCGCAACTGCTTAGCTCTCACGGGGACCGTCCCTCCCTCGCCCCCTTGGACAGCAGAGGGGTCATCCGCCGCCTCCGGGCTCCAGGTGGTGCAACAAGGGACCCCCGGTGAGCGAGAGAGGGGCGCGGGGCGGAGCTCAGGTCCGCAGGGCAGGGTTATCCAGCGTCTGCGGTGGGGTCTGGGGCCCCAGAGCTCCTGTGCCTCTGTCAACCCGCCCACCTGCCTGTCTATCGGTTTGTCTGTCTGTCAGCCTGCCTGTCTGCCTGCCTATCTACTTGTAGTCTGAGATTGGGTGTGGCTGAGAGGAGCTGCGGGAACGGAGGTGGGGCAGGTGGAGTTGGGGGCTGGGAGAGCGCCCGTGTTAGTGTGAACGTCAGCGAAGGCAGAGTGGCCGCATGGGTGCCACCTGTCCCCCACCCGGGACCCTGCCCCCAGAAAACATTCGGTTTAGTACTTTGCGGGTGCCGTCTTGAAATGCCTAGTCATTTGTTTAACAGAGTCCCACGTTTTCATTTTGCACTGAGTCCAGCAAAGTCCTAGCCGGTTCTGACTGGGGAGGGTGGGGGCGCCCTAGGGTCGGATGGAGTCCACGTGGGGATCGTCTTGCAATTCCTTCATTCCTTTCATAAACACACAACACACAGCTCTAAGACAATCGTTTGCAGGCTGTGCTGAGCGCTGGAGCGTCCTTAACGGACGGTGAGCTAGCGTTCAAATGGGACACCCTTCATGGATCAGTATTTCATCTTTTCCAGCTCACTGGGAGATGGGGAGCATCAAAGGTGAGGCTTGGCCCTGAAGGAAGTCAAACCCTGTTGGGAGACGGAGGAGGGGGCGCCCTAAGAGCTAGCTGCCAGCAGGGGGCTCTGTGGAAGCCCCGAGTCCTCCAGGAAGAGTGAGGGATTGTGGAGGCGGGATTTTGTAGCGTAGTGGTTACGAATCCGCCTGCGAACCTTAAGGTACGCGGTTCGAAACTACCAGCTGTTCCACGGGAGAAAGATGAGGCTTTCTACTCCCATAAAGATTTACACCCTCGGAAACCCTGTACAGGGTCGCTATGGGTCGGAACAGACTCGACGGCACTTAACAACAACCTGGGGGTTGAGGGTAGAGAGCCCTGGTGTGGCGCTGTATCCGTCATACTGCAAAGTTGTTTGAACTGCAAGGTCGGTGGTTCGAGCTTACCAGCTGCTCCTTGGAAACCCTATACAGGGTCGCTATGGGTGGGAATCGACTCGATGGCACGTAACAACAACAACACCATACCTGGGAGTTGGGAGTATGGAGTCCTGGTTAATGCGCTGGACTGCAAGGTCAGCTTGAACCACCAAGTTTGGCAGTTCAAGCTCATCAGCCGCTCCTTGGAAACTCTATACAAGGTCGATGAGTCGGAATGGCTTGACGGCACTTAATAACAACATACCTGGGAGTGGAGTCTGGTGTGACGCTATAGGATAAGCCCTGCACTACCAACCGCAAGGTCGGTGGTTCAAACCCTCCAACAGCTAGCTGCTCTGTCACTATGTGTGGGACTCAAGGCACTTAATAACATCCCTGGGATTAGGAGCTGGTGGGTGGGGTGGGGTGGGGTGGGCTAAAGAGAGCAGGCCCTCTCTGTCAGTCTGCAAAGAGTGAGGAAGCAGACATGCTCTGCTTAACTTGGAACCTGTGCTAAACCACACAGTTTCAAGATGTACATATCTGCTGTAGCAGCTTTTGTTATTGTTAGCTGCCCCTGATTCAGCTCCAACTCTTGACTACCTTGTGTATGAGAACAAGTCAAAAAGTCTTGCTAAGAGGGTTCCAGTTCATACAGGCATGAGTTTATTCCAAGCAAAACATGCTTTAAAATGTGTCTAAGAGCAGTGAATGCCTGCAGACAAGTTCTCTCGGTAATGCACTTGCCTTAATCTCCTCAGGGTGCCTTCAAGTAAAAAAAGGATCCAATAAAATTAGTAGCTTCCAAGGGGATCTGCTGGGCCAGTTCGATTCAAGGTTAGCTCAGAAGGTTATGACAGATTCTTTCAAAGGGGTCATCTTGAATGATTTTCTCAAAGGACATAGGATGATCATGGGCTTATTATTAAGTTTTCTGAAAACTGAAAACTGCATTGATGAGAAAAAAAAAACCAGAAAGGTCGTTCCAAGGGATTTTTCCCCCCATCACAACAATGCACCTGCTCATTCTTTAAGAGTAGCAAGGATTGTCCTAGGAGAATTGTATACAGAAACCTTATCTCATCCACTCTACAGCCCTGCTCTTGCCCCTTGAGACTTCTTTTTGTTTCCCAGGCTCAAAGAACATTGAAAAGGAACACAATTGGAGTCCCTTGAGGATGACACAATTTCATTTTAACAGGGTATAAATTGAAGAGTGCAAGATTCTTAATGAAGGGCTAGAGAGTTGTAAATTCTATCTCCAGAAATATATAGTCTTAGATGGAGGAGGTGTTGGTTAGATAGCTTCACATTTTGATAATTTTGTTTAACAAAAGTTTATATGACTTAGTAGCAATATTATTTGACTTGCCCTCATATAACTCAGCCATACTCAGTGGTGGGCAGATACAGGCATCTGGAATGGTGGGCTCTGATCCTCTCATTCGGAACAGATCGATGCCACTTGCATCCCAACGTGAGAACTGATCGCCTGTCTCATCTCAGTATTAGGGACACTAGTCTGTTGGACCCATCGGGTTTTCAGTGGCTACTTTTCATAAGTAGATCACCAGGCCTTTCTTCCTAGTCTGTCAGAGTCTGTGCGCCGAAACCTGTCCACGATGGGCAACTCTGCTGGAATCTGAAATACTGGTGGCATCGCTTCCAGCATCACAGCAACATGCAAACCGACCACAGTACGACAAACTGGCAGATGGGGGTGGGCAAAACCATGGTACAGTTATCAAAACTAAAACTTAGCATGGATGTAATATTAATAACTAGAGACTTTGCATGCAGAGCTTCCTAGTTTTTCCTTCTATGTCATTCTTCTACCCAGGTAGTTTGAGAAGCACTAAGACCTGGGACCTGGGTGGATTCTAGGTGCTGGGGATTGGTGGAGTTTTTTGCTGGGAAATTCTGGAATCCGGAGCACTGTTGGGAGGAAGATTATCCCAACAATGACACAGTCCATTAAGGGCCTAAACAGTGATGCTGACCAAAGAATTGGGGGCAGGAAAAGCAAAAACTAGTCTCAGAACATATATCTAATCCAGTTAGAACAAGCTTCTGTTCTCTACATGATGAGGGGGAAACAAAACAGTTGCTTTCAAGTTGATTCCAACCCATGGCAACTTTGTGTGCAAACAGAACTACATTCCCTAGAATTTTCGACAGTGGGTCTTTCGCAAGTAGATCGCCACGTCTTTCTTCTAGAATGTCTCTGGGTGGGTTCGAACTACCAACCTTTTGGTTAGTAACCAAGCGCTTGATTATTTGTGCCATCCAGGGGCATGATGGGAGAAGCCTGGCATAATCAACCTTCCACCAGGCAACTCTCCCTGAGCAAAGATGTCAGATGGGTAACTCAGTTGGCAGCTGCCAATTACTTATTGCTACATAATGTTGCTGTTGTTAGCTGTCAGTATAGACTCAAAGCGACTTTATGCACAATAGAACGAAACACTGGCCAGCCCTGTGCCAACCTCACATCACCGTTCTATAATAAACTACCCCGAATGTGGTGGCAGCTAACAGTTTGAAGCTAACACCATTTCGGCAGGCTCATGACCCTGTGGGTTAGGATTTGGAGGCGGCACATCAAAGAATTGCTTTTCTCTGCTCCACAGTCTTTAGGGACTTATCTGGAAAGACATGAATGGCTAAGAATGGTATACATGCCTGGGGATGGGTTCATCGGAAGGCTGTCTCTCTCATTCTGGTACCTGGACTAGGAGACATCAGAAGTCCAGCTCAGCTGGGATTGTTGACAAGAGCTGTACACGTGGTCTTTGTGTGTACCGCATCTGAGTATTATGAAAGAGCACCCCAAGATGGGGCAGCTGGAGAACAAGGCCGACGATGCTGCTATTACTAGGATTATCAACTGTAATATGGAGGCTACTTACCAAGACATTTCTCAAGTGAATATGCCACCCATGAAGTGAACCACATATATATATATATTCACACCCAACACATATTCTGTGAATGGACGTGGGCTCTCACCTTAAGGTTTAATCAAGGATGAGTAGCTCTCACAATGTGGCCCCACTTGATCCTTATCTTCGTGAGGTGATCTCTGAAGATCTGGGTACTATTGTCAAGCAGAGTGAAGGAGTTAAGATGGTGCCTGACTGTCAGAGAGGACAGCATCTGGGGTCTTAAAGGCCTGTCCTAAAACAAGCAGCCATCTGTGGGAGACCAGTCTGTACAGAAGAAAGCACATCAACCTACGTGTGATCAAAGGATGTGTAATAAAATGCATGATCAAAGGAGGGGCTGAATTAGGACTTAAATTCTAAGCACTTGGTTTGCAGAAGGCAGTAGGCAAATCTGCTGCATGAGACCTCCTCCGAGTGTTGAAGAGCAAGGATGTCAATTTGAGGACTGAGGTGCGCCTGGCTCAAGCCATGGTATTTTCAATCGTCTCATGTGCATGTGAAAGTTGGACAGTGATTAAGGACGAGCACAGCCCAAGTATTGACGCATTTGAGTTACGGTGTTGGAGAAGAGCATTTCAAATACCATGAACTGCTACAAGAAACAACAAATGTGTGTTAGAAAAAGTATAGCCAGAGTGCTCCTCAGATGCCAGGACAGTGAGACTTTCTCTCTCACACTCTGGACATCTTATCAGAAGGGACCAGTCCTGGAGGAGGGCATCATACTTGCTAAAGTGGAGGGTCAGTGAAAAAGAGGGAGACCCCCCAACAAGAAGGATTGGCACAGTGAAAAGCAGCAGTGGGCTCAAGTGTAATTAATTGTGAGGATGGCACAGGGCCGTTTCACCCTGTTGTGCATAAGGTGTCCTGAGTTGGAAGCAACTCTACAGCTAACAGCAACAAACGGTTTACAGAGGGAGGCCCAACTGCATTTCGAGTCTTGACGTCGTCGGTCTCCACTGAGTTTCTGACCACTAACCAATGTGAGAAAGCTTTCCCTTCCAGCAGGGTGTGTAACAAGCCCAGCCCAGAGAGTCCTGATGATGTAGTGGGTTACATACTAGGCTTCTAACCCCAAGATTGCCAGTTCAAACCAACCAGATGCTTCAAGGGAGAAAGATGAGTGTGCCTACCCCTGCAGAGATTTACAGCATTAGGAAAACCCAGGGAGCAATGAGGGTCACTGTGGGTGGGAATTGCCTCGATGGTAATGAATTTGGTCTGGGATTTAGCCAGTTCAGAAGCCCTGGTGGTGCTGTGGGTCAGGCATTGGGCTGCTAATAAGGCCAGAGGTTCCAACCCACACTGCTCCATGAGAGAAATGAGGCTGTCTGCTCCCGTGAATTTTTAGTATTGGAAACCCTATGCAGGGTCTCGATGACTTACCAGCTTAGGGAGGGGCAGCTTTGTCCTCAGACCTTGTCTGGGGATACCCTTGGTGGAAATTGGGGCACCAGGGCTACACGGTCAAGAGTCAGACCTTGCCCAAGGTGACTGGAGACCCCTAGAACAATCCTTCCTAAGCTTTCTAAGCTGCAGTATAGTGTGTATGTTCCAACCACGGTCTGTTTCTTACCTTCGTAGTCCCACCTGCAGCAATGGTGAAGTGACGATTGCCTCGGTTCCCCACATTCTGTAATCAAGTCATGTGGCTGGAATCTTTACACACCGTGACCTCATGCTGAGTCTCCCTCATCTGTGTCACTTCTCTTGGTTTTCTCTGCCCTTTTTAAGACTTAATCGAGGAGTCACCAGACAGAAGCTCCAGCCCAGAGTGGCTCAGTGAATCCACCCAATGACGCTGCAGAAGAAAAGCCTGGCAGTCTACATTTGGTCATCAGGTTGTTGTTAGGTGACATCCAGTTGCTTCCTATTCATAAGAGACCCTGAGCACAACAGAACAGACACTAGAGGGGCCTGTGTCATCCTCACGTTCGCTATGTTTTGAGCCCATACTTGCTGCCACTGTGTCAACTCATCTCGCTGGGGTGGTGAGACTTCGTCTCTCATACTTGGGACATATTATCAGGAGGGAACAGTCCCTGAAGGAAGACATCATGCTTGTTAAAGTGGAAGGTGGGTGAAAATGAGCAGGAAGCCCGAGATAGAGTCTCACAGTGGCAGGAGCAATGGGCTCAAACTTCACAATGTGGGGTTGAGTGTCTTTTCTGCAAAATTATTATATTCCTTTTCATTGTATTCAGGTGACCTTTTTTTTTTTTCCTTCCTGAAAGTCGGGACTTTATGATCTTACTTTTTACTACTTCCTGGAGAAGGGACTGTATGACCTTTCTTTTACTATGTGCTACTTGCTGAAGTAAGAATGTACACCTTAGAAATTTGAATTAGCCAACCGGGTAAGGGAAAAGATTGCGCAGTTGAAGCCCTGCCAATGGGATGTGACACAGCCTTCAGAATTGTGTCAGGGATTATTAACCCAAGTGGACTGTCCACTCGGTGTGCTCGCTGTCCTGTTCCTGTGCAGCAACACGCACGCACCCTTCTGCAGAAGTAAATTTTGCCTCGCCGTGTAATTGAGTCTCAAGTGTCTTTTTGTACTATTCTTTGCCAACATCATGATTCAAAGGCATGGATTCTTCTTTGGTCTCCCATATTCATTGATCAACTTGCACGTGCATAAGGTGATTGAGAATATTGTGGATTGGGTCAGGTGCACCGAGGTCCTCACACCGACATCTTTGCTCTTCAACACCTTGAAGAGCTCTTCTACAGCGACCTGCCCGGTACAGTAAATCCGTCGATTAGGTTACAACCACTGAAGATCCCAATGGTTGGCTGGGGGCAATCAGAGGCTGTATGGTCTTCTATGACCCAGCCTTTTAAGACACGTGGCATGACTCCGGCCATTCTCCATGAAGATGGATCACAAGGCCCCCAATGTTCTCTGGGTCCAGGAAGCCAGCTGGTGACTCAAATGACAGACTGTAGACACTCTGCCTCGTCTTCTTGCCCCTCGTGGTCCCTGTCTGTGTGGCTCAGGGCTGACTGAAGCAGGTCATCACTGGGGAGCCACTTGCAGGGACTTTGTGTGTCATAATGCGTCTATTTCATGTTTCATGTGAACACATCTCAAAGTCAACCTTAGGAGAAATCTGTGGTGCTTCAGGATAAGCACTGGACTTTTAACCACAAAGTCAGTGGTTCAAGCCTACCCAAAGCTCCTCGGCACTCCTATGCTGTTGTTGTTAAGATGCCATCGAGTTGGTTCCGACTCACAGTGACCCTATACATAACAGAACCAAACACCACCTGGTCCTCCATCATCCTCACAATAGCTTGAGCCCACTGCTGCTGCCACTGTGCCAATCCATCTCCTCGGGGTCTCCCTCATTTTCACTAACCCTCCACTTTACCAAGCACGATGTCCTTCTCCAGGGACTGGTCTCTCCCAATATCTCCCATATGTCCGAACTATGAGAGACAAAGTATCACCATCCTGACTGTACTTTTCCCAACACAGGTTTGTTTGTTCTACAGTCTTCTTCAACACCATAATTCAAATGCATCAATAATACTAGGGTCTTCCTCATTCACTATCCAATTTTCATATGCTTATGATTTTATTGAAAAGACCCTGATTTGCTTCAGGTACACCTTACTCCTCAAACTGGCATCGCTGCCCTTGAACACTTTAAAGGGGTCTTATGCAGCAGATGTGCCTAATGCAATATGCTCTGATTTTTTGACTGCTGCTTCCATGAGTATTGATAGTGGATCCAAGCAAAATGAAGTCTTTTAACTTCATCCTTTTCTTCATTTATCATGTTACTTACTTACTGATCTAGTGGTGAAGATTTCTGTTTTCTTTACATTGAGGAGTAACCCACATTGACGGCTGTGGTCTTTGATCTTCATCAGTAAGAATTTTAAGCCCGCTTTGCTTTCAGCAAGTAAAGTTGTGTTGTCTGCGTATTACAGATTTGCAATGATTCTTCCTCCAATCCTGATGATACATTCTTCATACCAGCTTCTCGAATTATTTGCTCAGCATACAGACTGAATAAATATGGTGAGAGAATACAAACCTTGTGCACAGATCCTACCTTTAAATCATTCAGTGTTCTGTTCAGATAACTGCCTCTTGGTCTATATACAGATTCTACATGAGCATCATTAAGTGTTCTGGAATACTCACTCAGTCTCTGCAGTGTTGCCATTCTCTGTAGCTTGTCATGATCCACACAGTAGAAAGACTTTGCGTTGTCAATAAAGCACAGGTAAACATCTGACTGATAAATCAGCTACCAGAAAGTCAATTCTGATTCATTTTGTCTGTGTAACAAATCCCACAGGACACCCATAAAAAATATTTTATTTAAAGGTTAAGAAAAAATTATACATACCAAAGAAATGATAAAAAGTTCATAAATTAGACCAATGTCAAAGCTCTCCTTTCCACCTCCCCAACCCCCCATAATTTACATCATGAGAAAATTGAAAGTGAGGTCGCACACAGGCAAACCAAGAACATTTTCAACAGTCTGACAGCGAGGCCCACAGCAGGTCCCTCATGTGTGTTAGAGGCCCACGGCAGAATCACCCTTTCTACCCATCATCTACCTCACGGTGGGCCAGCTCCCGGCCTTTCCTCCTGGGGAAGGGTGAGCCATTCCTTGGCATTTGGGGGGTTGTGCTGTGCACCTGCTGGGAAACGGAGCCAGATTTGGACAGCAGAGATTCCAGAAATTAATGTCTCGAAGGTGTTACACCTAGATGTGTGACGCATTCAACTGGCTTTAAGACCATGCAAACGTGCAAACAAAACAGCATTTATTCTGGTTCTTTGCCAGAGACCTATGAAGTCCCGATTTTTCCAAGGAACTTAGCCGCAGTGTGACTGCAAACACAGCCACCAGTATCGCTGCTCTGTTATCTGTTTGTGGTCCTGTCAGCCAGCTGGGCCTTCAAGCAGTCACTGGACATGTGCATTCTCTGAGATCTGAAAGAAAAATCCTATTTACGTCCCCAGAAAGAGCTTCCATCTCAAGCTACTGAATGTCACATGAACTAGCAGAGTTCAAGTTCAATGCCTACAACACTATGTGGCGCTCTACGGCCAATTACAAATTCATATCAGCAAACAGCCCAAAGCTCAGTAACAAAGGTGTGCGAGCAGGATGCGGGTCAGGTCAGGGAGCAGCGCTCTGAGGTGTGTGGGAAGGACTTAGGGGTCCCGTGTTCCGTGGCGACCCGTGAACAGGACACTACACCATGCAGAGTGCCAGCGCCCCCACATGGCACAGACGCGGGACGATACACAGGCCAGCTGCGCGGTTCAGGGAGGGCGTAGTTTCTCTGCGGGGCTCTGGTGGTGGCGGTGGGAGGAGCCTCCCAGACAGTTACTCGGTGGACTCCCTTCTACTTCTGCTGCCTCAGCCTTTCTATCTCAGACTCGCAGGTTTTGTTCACGTTCCAACATCAGTGACATGTAGCAGGGTGAGTACCACGACGTGAACTTAAAAACGGGGCTGTCTGAGCCAGGACTAACAGACCACATGGTGCAAGGCCGAGGGTCCAGGGAAATGGGGGTCTGTGCAGAGGCAGAAATTCCACCAACACCAGGGCAGGAAAGGAACCCCTCACAGGTGGTCAGGGGGCAGTCAGGACAGGGAGAGAGCAGCAGAACTGCCCTTTCTCTGTAGTCCTTCAGAACCATCATCAACCGCCATCTGCCAATCACATGGTGACAGCTGAATTAAATACAAAACCTTCTAATGTGTGCACTCCTCCTGTGGAGAGGGCAAACACTGTCTTCCTGAGGACGTGGAAGTACAGGGTGCCTTCCCTAAAAAGGTGGTGTTGTTAAGTGCCATCGAGTCAGTTCTGACTCAGCAACCCTGTATAGAGTTTCCAAGGAGGGGCTGGTGAGCTTGAACCGCCAACCATGCGTTTCAAATGACCTTGCAGTCCAGCGCCTTAACCCACAGCACCACACCAGGACCCTAAAAAGTAGTCACTTCAAATTAAGTTGTGAAAACGGAATGGGGTCTCAGTCCCTTTATCCCTGAGTTCAAGGAACCCAGGGCTCCGGTGGAAACATGACTAACAGTACCCCTGGGGCCAGGGAGAGGCAGGCTGACCAGACAGTGTCCTGGGAGACGATGCCCTTCTGGGAGGCTTACCTTCAGAGCTCATCCGAGGAGGGAGATGAACATGATCACCCCCATAAACTGGGTAAACAACAACAGGGGGGTGAAAAATGACCACACATGCCATAAAGCAAGGTTGAAGCTGGGAGGAAAAGGACAAAACAAGAAAGGTTGACAACTGTAACCCTACTATTCACCAGCGCATTTTATTCTAGAACCAGTATTTTAAGAATTCACTTTGGACTCCGTTTGGGAAAATTCGCCCACCTGGCAACTCTCTAGATAGCGTGTTGTTTCCGTATGTGATGTGGCCACTGTTGGGAGCTCGGTATACAAGCATGTCCAACTTCCAGATAACCCCTTGCTCTTGTTAAGTGCCATCAAGTCGGTTCTGACTCACAGCAACCCTGAATAGGATTTCCCAGGAGCAGCTGGCAAATTTGGAGCAGCTGGCAAATTTGAACCACCGATCTTATGGTCCAGTGCATTCTCCCACAGTGCTGCCACACTAGACAACTCCTATAGCCCTTTAATGTAAGGTACATTTGTCCTCACTCTGCAATGAATGAACCAACCCCCACTGACAACAACTTCCTCATGACAGTCACCTTCCAGGTTCCCATGTTAAATCACTGCAAAAGCTTCCAGACTTTTTCTTGTACAATAGCAGACTCTCTGGGGTGGCAGCGGAAATTCTCAGCAGGATGTTGAGCTGGAATAAACTAGTTCAAGGCTTTGCTTGGACATTCCCCTGTATACATGATCCCCCAATTACTGTATGCGATCTGTTGGGGAAATTTGGGTTGTTTCCAATGTAGTTACCATTTCAATGACACTGTTTAAGAAATTTCTGTACGTCTCTTGTAGCAGGTGCACACACTTCTATAGATGCAGAGAGTGGGGGGAAGGGGCTTCAAAAAGTTCAAGGAAACACTGCATGATCTTAAGAAACAACAGAGGAAATGGCAGCAAATACTGTTAACCGATTATGCGTGGAAGGGATTGTAATCACTGCAATGACACAAAATACGACCGGCTGAGTGCAAAAACAACATTCTCCCCTGTAAATGATCATTCAGTTCCCAAAAAAAGCTTTAAAACCAAACAAACTGCATTATCTTTTCATTCCATTTCCACAAACTTTTGAAGCCCTCTCATCCACTTGTTTTCTTTCATGAATAATGCCACAAAAACAATTTCCTTTTTCCTACAGGAACTCAGGTAAAAAGGGTGGGGAAAGCTTTATTTTTCTGTTTATACAAGCAGTATTTGCTCACTGAAGAGAAAAAAATCTGTAAATTTCAGAAATACACAAAGGAAATAAATTCCATGGTCCTTCCAGCCACAGAGAAACCTAGCCACCTGAGGGGCTTGAAAAACTTCACAGACAAACGGAATGACAAGATAATGAAATTTTTCTGGGAACTTTTTGAAGCCCTCCCGTATACTTTCTTGTTGTTGAGTGCAGCTGAGTCAGCTATGACCCGTAGCGACACTATATATATAGGGTTTCTGAGGAGCGGCTGGTGAACTTGAACCACCAACCCTGTGATTCAAACTGACTTTGCAACCAGCACATTAACCCACAGTGCCACACACAGCAGGATGTCCATATACTTAGATGGGAAAATTATCAAGATAAACAAGCGCCAGGAAGGTGGGGGCAGCGAGTGAGAGGGGTTCCTGTGGTGCTGTCAGGGGTCTTCCTGGACTTGGTAGGGTTTACACCCATTCTCACTGTGTGAGAATCCACTCAGCTGTCGGAGTCATTCAGTCTACTCAGCAGTACACATTACACCATGTCATTACGAAAAAGATTTAAAAAACAAATGCGGACTATACCTAGACTGTTGCCATTTGGACACATGAAAAACTGAACAGTGAGAGGGACTTCCGAGAGGTTCATGGACTAGGGCAGCAGGGATGGCAGGGAGACCACCTTTCTGCTACACCTTTGTACTTGCTTGCATCTCAGTGTTTGCATTTTAAGAGATACAGGTGTTGTAGCGTAACTCGGAAACCCTGTATAGCGTAGTTCGCTGAGTTGGAATCGAGTCGACAGCCATTAACAACAACAACAAAGATAAGCAATGAACTGCTAGCCACAATGCCGGCAGTTCAAACCTACCAGCCACTCCTCGGAAACCCTATACAGGGTGGCTATGAGTCAAAACCAACTCAGTGGCATGTAACAATAACATGTGCTGTTGTTGTTGTTAAGTGCCGGAGAGGTGGTTCCGACTCACAACAACCTTGTTCAGGGTTTCCGAGCAGCAGCTGATGGGTTTGAACCACCAACCTTGCGGTTCAAATAAACCTTGCAATCGAGTGCTTATACTACAACACCACACCAGTACTCCAACCTGTGTGTGTGTGTGTGTGTGCGCACGCGCGCGCGATTGTATCGTCTTTTTCGCTTTGATTCCTCCCCATCCTTTAAAATCAGCTCACCAGATTCCTGCAGTAATGAAAGTAGCGGTGGTGATGGGAATCAGTGAGGGGAACCTGGCGTCATAATCCTCGACTCCGCAGTACCACTCCAGGAAGACGATACAGTAAAGTGCAATCGAGATGCTGACAAGCAGCAAGGCACCACCAACAAGAAACCAACTGGGGAGACAAAAAGCACATCGTGATCAGCAGCGTATCACACAACAGCAGGTAGGTACATTCAACGGTTTCGCCGATAACCTACAGATCACATCGGTTTCTCAGAGGAACGTCAGCAGGGCAGGTGGGAGGGAGGCCCAGAGCACCGTGGTCCCAGAAGCCTCCATCTAGTGGGAGGGGGATGAGATAAGGCCTGAGACACAAGACAGGATGAAACCGGGAGTCTTTCAGCCCAAGCAGTCACGTGTCTTCATGTACCCATCAACCAAGGATGAACCCTGGTTCTTTACATAAAGACGCCGGCTTTCTGATGAAGATGTTGTATGCAAGCCCTGGAAATGGCTCTCCCCAGGTGCCATTAACTCTCCCAAGGTTAGCAGTGGGCCTGGAACACTGAAAAGTCCATGTGGAAGAGTCCATTCCAATTCTGGCTCATAAGAAAGTTCCAGCTGAAACCCTCCCGTTGTTCAGGACAGCTCCCCAGGATGCCTTTTCCTGCCTTTCAATTCGGCTGAGACCTCCTCCTCCAGCCTCTGCTGGCCAGGACGGGCCCGTACCCTCCTGACCATGACCTCGGGCTCCTCTGTGGGGAGAAGGGAAGTGGACCACCACCAGGGAGGGGCACGAACTCACTTCTTTTATTCAAAACAGCTTCACCTGTGTGTTGTTTGTTGCTTACGTCACTTTCTGGCTGTCTGATGATTTCCTGCCCGTCATGGACATGGACATGGACCCACCCTGGGCCCTGCTGGCACTGTTTGTCGTGGACCACCTCATGGGCTCTCTCAGGTCTCACAGCACGGACCTGCAAAGTCGACCAGGGCATGCAGTGCATGCAGGCTGGTGCCTTGCAGCCTTCTTGGTACACAGGTAAGCAGTTCCACTACCAGGCCTTTGGGACAGCCTAGCTTCGTGGGAGGCTGTGTCATGTAGGAGAGAAGCTGGACCATTTTGACTACATTTTGAGATGACTTCTTAAAGAAGTGGCGATATGCCCGATTCCTTTGAAGACGATTACGACCGTGCCATCCTGGGATTTCAGACGACGATAAGCGATGGACAGCACGGTTCCTTCTGGTTCACACAGGCTCCCTGTGAGTCGGAAATGACTCGACAGCGCCTAACAACAACTTAGGGCGGTGGCTAGGAACGCGGCCTCTGAAATCTGTCTGGGTCGGTATGTCTGGGCAGATGACTTCACCCTGCTGGCTCCTGAGAGTCCCAAGACCTAACAGCACACAGGGCTGTGAGGACTACGGTGAGGAGCGAATGAGCCGCACAGCTACGTGTTCAGCAGTGATCACCACTATTCCAAGGCTGTTCAGAGATGGCCCTTCGGTTAGAGCACTCAGCCCCCTGGCGGTGACACCCAAAGGTCAGAAAAGCATCTTCTCCCTTCTTATGGGTAAAGTGCAGGCAGCCAGACTCTACAAGTACACAGCCAGCGATACTTCCTGGGGCAGGGAAGGGCCCATTAGGAATCTAAAAGGCTCCTGGGACAGAAGAGGGAGAGAGATGCTGAGGACGGCTGTGCTGGTGCGTTGCTGATCTCCTGGCTTCGTCAGAATCCTCCCTTGGATTCATTTCAATTCCAACCTTCACATGAAACCCTCACTTGGCTCCTCTGTGCAGATGTGGTAAAGAATATAAGGAAATGAGAAACAAACAGAAAACTGTTTTGTTCTGAAATTTGGCTGTGGACCAGCACCATTTAATAAGGCAGTTACCTTGCCTCTTGAACAAATAAACCAAAAAACTGACGCTATGAACACCACCACCACCACGGCATCAGGACTGGAGGGAGGCTCGCTAACAACCTACAATATGCAGGTGATGCAACCTTGCTTGCTGAAAGCGAAGAGGACTTGAAGCACTTACTGATGATCAAAGATCAAAGACTACAGTTTTCACACTAAATTACACCTCAACAACTTTTTTTTAAAAAAGCAAGCATCATCACTACTGGACTGAAACTGTTAAAAGTTGTGACTAACTTCATTCTACTTGGATCAACAACCAGCATCCATGGGAGTCTGTGGCCATGAAGAAGTCAAACAACACATTGCTTTGGGGAAATCTGCTGCAGAGGACCTCGCTGTGGTGGTGCTCAGAGCCAAACTGTCCACGTGAGGACTAAGGGGTGCCTGACCCAGGCCGCGGCATTCCCAATCGCCTCAGAGGCATGTGAAAGCCAGACAGTGAATAAGGAAGACTAGAGACGTCATTTGAGTTCACGGCGTTGGCGAAGACCCTTAAATACACATGGAGTAGGCAAAGAATGAACAAATAACAAATCAGTTTTATAAAAACCCAGCCAGGATGCTCCTTAGACGTGCACGTGACGGGACTCGGCCTCACTCGTGCTAGACAAGGACATCACCAGGAAAGGTCATTGGGTAAAGTCAGTGACAAGGAGGGAAGCCTTCAGGGAGATAGACTGACATAGGGGCCTCAGCAGCGGGCTCGGATCTGCCCACGACTACCATGACGCAGGAGCGGGTAAAATGTGCTGTACTGCTGTTCATACAGCGCCATGTGAGGCGTAGTGATGCTGAAGACACACTCAGGTCCCAGACTCACCCAGCACGTTCTCCTTGTACGACACCCACAGTCTCCAGAAAGGTCTGCAGTCAATCTTCATCCCTCTGCTTTTCCCAGATGGAATAGGACCTCCCAAATTACTGTCCCCACCCCAAACACTCCGATGATGGTCCCCAGCCTCCCCCAGTTCTCACTGAACCTGGCAGGGAGGAGGGGCTTACTCCGGGTTTGAAGGATTCGACTGACCAGACACATGACCAACAAGACAAGGCTGCTAAACTGCTGAAGCTGCCATGTTCTCTCTCACCTACTAGTGTGAAGGTTTTCTTTGACGGTTTTAAAGAAGTCAACATAATAGGTCACAGCGATGGACGCCAAAATCCAGAAGCCAGAGTGGATATTAAGTCTTGGAAGAGGTTTCTCCTTTTTCTCAACAGCTGTACAGGTTTCTGGAAATGAGGGAGATTTCAGTGTATCAGTGTAATTTCAGGAGGAAAAAGTACACCTGAATTAAACCAAATAGCATCATTTCCTAGAGCTTTCTAGAAACTGGGTTCTCGGCCATCCTATCATTGATTTCTTCTGCAAAACCATCAAGAGAGATTTCTATTTGCAGAAATGACGAATCAACAGGAGCCGCTACAGCACACAGCCACCAAGTTGCCAGTTCAAACCCACCCCACCCACTGCCACGGAGTGAATTCTAAGTCAAAGCAACTCTGCAGGACAGAGCAGGACGGACCCCTACGGCTTCCAAACGGCACAGCTTTACAGAATTGGACGGGCCCATCGTTCTCCTGCAGAGCTGCTGATGGGTTGGAACTGCTGACCCACCGCTTAACCCACTGTGCCACCAGGGCTCCTTCAAACCCAGTAGCTACGGTCAATAATTGCATCATTTCCTTTAGCTATTTAAGGAAACTTACATATTCAGAATTCGTCTGAAGGAATGACGTTACCTAGTAGTGTACAGATTTGAATATTATGTTTCAACTGCCATCGAGTCATTTCTGACTCCCTGTGACCTTATATGACAGAGAACTCCCCCACAGGGTTCCCAAGACTGTCATCTTTATGGTGACCGAACCCCAGTCTTTTGTCTCACCAAGAGGCTGGCAGGTTTTGGTTAACAGCCAAACACTTGACCATTTTGTCACCAAGGTTCCTGAAGAAGGTCACTGTTGTTGTTAGGTGCCCTCAAGCTGATTTGGACTATCAGAGACTCAATGTACAATAGAACAAAGCCCTGCCCAGCCCCAAACCCACCTCACAATCACTGCTAGGCCTGAGCCCATTGCTGCAGCCACTCTGTCCATCCAGCTCCTGTTTTTCCCGCTGACCTTCCACTTTACTAAACATGGTCTCCTTTTCGAGGGACTCGTCCCTCCCAACACGTGTAACATAGAAGAGATGAAGTCTCGCCATTCTCACTTCTAGGAGTTTTCTGGCTGTACTTCTTCCAATTAAGAAAAATGCAAAAGGCAAACTTACTAGAGCACAAAATGGACTTGCAATCTAGCAATAACACGTCTTATAACTAAGTGTTTTCATTATTTTAAACAAGCACAAAAGGAGAGCGGGCACAAAGGCTGCTGAACCAGGCACATGAGTTCGATTCCTGGCACAGCCCTGACGTGGCAAGTCTCTATTGCCATTTGGCGCCAGACCTGAAAGGATTGGCCAGATAGTGACATTTAACACGCTCCCCGGCTGCTGCTCACATGCTCACTCTCTCTCCATTCACATACAACCAGGGCCCTAGATCGGAGGTTCTTGGCCCTTTGCTGCATGTCAGAACCACATGGGGACTTTTCAATAATTTATAACCACCATGCCTGGACATGGTGTTTTTTGTTTTGAAAGTCATGCATTCACATGGTTTTCCACATACAGGACAAGTGTCTAAACTGAAATCTCCCTCTCCCATCCTGAATCATACTTCCTCTGACCAGAAGCTACCACCAACGCCAACTTCTATTACGTTCTTCCAGCGCTATTCTAAGCATCTAGAAGAGAACATAGGACTCCTGGTGTGGCACTATAAACAATGGGCTACAAAACACAAGGTGGACAGTTCAAACCCCCCAGCTGCTCTTTGGAAACCCTATACAGTGTCACTACGAGTCGGAACGGAATGGAAGTCACTTAACAAGAAGGGTTCATACATCACAGGTTACCTGTTGTACTCAAACGTCAGCACAACATACTTGCTCTATACCTCCCGCTGATAATCTTCCACATGGGGCAAAATAGGAAGCCTGGTGTCCCACGGCGGGATCTATCCAAATGCATTTAACCAGCTGACTGTGGACAAGCAATTTGAGCTTTCTAGTCGTTTGCTACTACAAGCAATGAGTAACATCAGTCTTTGCGTATTTCTACAAGGATGCCCCTTTGGTAAAGTTTCGAAGGCTTAGTGGGTATATTTCATTTTAATGGATACTACGGAATCCTGCTGTGGCGCTGTGGGCTAATGAGCCAGACTGCAAAGTCGTCTGAACTGCAAGGTCGGTGGTTCAAGCTCACCAGCTGCTCCTTGGAAATCCTACACAGGGTTGCTATGGGTCGGAACCGACTCGACCGCACTTAACAACAACTAACAACAATCAAATCGTCATCCGTGTTGGAAGAAGAAGTGCAGCCAGAAAGCAACTTGATAATAGTATTATGTACTTTGGACATGTTGTCAGGAAGGGCCAGTCCCAGGAGGACAGTAGGCTTGGTGAAGTGGAGGGTCAGAGAAGCACCAACAATGGATCCAACATAACTGTGAGGATGCGGCAGGACCAGGAACCGACTCCACGGCACATTAACAACCAAACAGGCGGCATAACGATTTTCAATCCGTTCTCCAGGGATTTCGGGAGCTACACTGAATACCCGGCTTAAATCCCCCCAGCCTCGGAAACCCGAACCCGGAAGTTCGGGACTGGGCCGGGCGGCGGGAGGCCCTAGGAACTCCGGAGCGCACCCGGAACAGCGCCTCACCCGGCCTGCCGTCGTCTTCGCTGTTCAGCTGGGCCTCTGCATCCTGCGCAAACAAGTACCGCCGCCGCAGCTGCTCCCGAGCCCGCAGAGCATCCATCTTGGCACCGCCCCGGAAGGTGGCGGAAGTGACGTCACGAGTTACTTCCGGCGCCGGCTCCCGGACGCTTCCGGGAGCGGAGGCTTAGAGGTGGAGGCTTCGCGTTTGTATCCGAGTGAGAAGGCGGGGTGGAATTGGTATTCCAATCTGCAAACGCAACTAGCATTTCAAAACAACCCAGGAGCTGCGCGTGTACTGCGAGCTACGGAAGTCCAGAAGAACGAAAAGGACGGATGCCGCTTTGATATCCTCCAGCTAGGCCTCTGCCCCGGCTTCCTGCCCGCCTACTCGGCCGCAGCTAGACCGGAAGCCTGGCACTCACTACCTGGTGACCCTGCCTCTGTTGTCCCAATCTACACGCGGGGAAGACACCTGCCTCGTGTAAAGCCCCCGTCTCCCCTCCAGCCACCCTCTTCAGCAGAGTTAAGAATGACCCCAGGTGGGAATACGGATGCTGACTTATTTCCCAATGAAACAATAGAGCTTCTTTAGAACTCAGAATTTCTAAAACCAGCATCGCTCCCCTGGCCTTGAGGCAGATAGGGCAGAAACAAGCCTCACAGGTGGTGTTTACTGTATGGTATTGTTATTTGAACTCATGCGGTCCACTTACCCTGTTCATTGATATCTAATCCGCTATTTTTGCGTCTATACTCCCTGCTTCAGCAAATTCCTTTAGATAAGCCCCTAGACCCCCAGCCAAGAGCTTAGCATATATAAACTAGCAGCCATTTCCCTACAGCACGGCAGGCCTGGGAGAATTCGTTGTCTACTGACGTCCGGCTATAGCTGTGTGTTGTGCCAATAAAATTCCCTAAATTGGACATTATAGTGGTCATCATCCTTCCTTGGGATTCGAACCCGTAACACCAGCACACTGCCATCTCCCGCCACTCATGCCTATTAAACCCAAAATGCCATTTTTTCTGTGTCCCACACCCCAACACCTGGCATTTGAATCAACAGTCCGAGGAAACTGAGCTCAGCACACCTGAGAAATGGAGTACTGCTAGACCTTCAAAAAGGTGCAAAACGTGCTACCTAGACCCTGCCACCAATTAGAATTAAACCTGAGGGAAATGAGCCAAAAACCCTATTGGTTGGTTGGGTGCTGTGGAGTTGGTTTCCGACTCAGCGACCCTGTACAGGATTTCGGAGGCTGTAAATCTTTACGGGAACAGAAAGCCTCATCTTCTGCGGAACAGCTGGTAGTTTCGAACTGCTGACTTTGCAGTTTGCAGCCTGATTCATAACCAGTACGCTACCAGAGCTCCTTAAAGGGGACAAACAACAGAAGGCTGACGCCCGTTTCCCCTCTTCTGAGCAGTGTACTGTTCATAGCTTAATAAACCTGGCCTTCTATGTGCTGTTTGCGCCAACCTCAAGTGGATCTTGCTAGACCTCAGAAGTCAAGTTACCCCACCACTTCACAATTTTCTCTTCCATCCGTAATTCTGTGTATCACCACCCCAATGAGATGTGTGTGCTTAAGGGGCTCTGGTAGAGTAGTGGGTCACCCCTCAGGCTGCTAATGGCAAGGTCAGCAGTTTGAAACTACCAGTTGCTCTGAGGGAGAAAGATGAGGCTTTCTCTTCCTAATAAAGATTTACAACCTCAGAAACCATTCTGCAAATGTTTACTGAACATCTGTTTGATTGTTGTTGTTGTGAGGTGCTGTTGAGTCATCAGTTCCTACCCAGAGAGACTCTGATAGGGTTTCCAAGGAGCAGCTGGTGAGCTTGAACCGTCAACCTTGAAGTTCAAACGGCTTGGTAGGAACTGTTAAACACCACTGATGATAAAGATGAGTGGGGCATTGACCAAGCACTTGACCTACTGGTCCAAGGATGACCACAGAAGTGTACAACGATAAATTGCCGCATTTATAAATGTACGAAAGTATTTCTTTAATTCTGTCAACATTTTCTGAGCAGCTACATGTGCTAAAGTGTTGAGGACAGGAGTAAGAAACTAGCTGATGTGATGTATGTTCCGACTCAGCAACCCTGTGCATAACAGAATAAAACACAACTCAGAGTCCTGGTGTGGCGCTGTAGGATAAGCACTGGACTGTAAGGTCAGTTTGAACCACAAGGTTGGTGATTCAAATTCACTAGTCGCTCCTTGGGAACATATAGGTTTACTGTGAGTCAGAATTTACTCAACAGCACTTAACAACAATGATCCTGCGCCATCCTCCCAACTGTTAGTTACATTTGAGCCCATTGCTGCTGCCACTCTGTCGATCCATCTCCTTGGAGGAGGTAGGGGTCTTCCCTCCTTTTCTCTGGCCCTTCACATTACCAGGAGTCCTAGTGTGGTGCTGTGGGATAATACATTGAACTATAAGGTTCATTTGAACTGCAATGTCAGTGGTTCAAACTCACCAGTCTCTCCTCAGAAACACTACACAGGGTTGCTAAGAGTCGGAACTGACTCGATGCCATTTAACAACAAAAACCATCTACCAAAGGAGCTCTGGTGACATAGTTACACATTGAACTGCTAACCACAAAGTCAGCAGTTCAAATCCACCAGCCACTCCGCGGGAGAAAGATGAAGCTTGGAAACCCTATACAGGGTCCCTGTGAGTTGCAACCAACTCGACATCACATAACCACCATCGCTTTAGCAAGCGTAGTGTCTTTCTCCAAGAACTGGTCCCTTCTGATAATATGTCTTAAGTATGAGAGATAAAGTCTCACTATCCTGGAGTCTAAAGAACATTCTAGTTACACTTGTTCACGACTGATTTGTTTGCCCTTCTGGTGGTCCATGGTGCTTTTTTTTATATATATATAAAACACTCAAGCATATGAAATTATTTATACCACCAAAGGGCACATTCTACAAATCTGCCTTCTGGCCACCAGCTCTCAGTCCCTCTCTTCCCATGAATCTAGAGACCTCAGCTGCTCCCTCTCTCCATGACCTCATCTCTGCTTCCATCTCTGGTGTCACTGCTTCTCTGAATAAGGTCCGGCATTCCACTTGTGCTCTTCTCCCTTGATGGTCCTAGGGTCCTCTATTCCTGGACTGTAAGATTAACTACTCCCCTGTTTTTGTTACAAAACTTCTTCCATCACAATTGTGACAGTTACAATTAGTCATGATAACAATTATTCACTATTGAATCATACAAATTGTATCCCCATTTCTTTTCACCAGAACCATCTAGACAAGATGAAAGCTATTCAGTGGGGACTCTTCCTTCCCCCCTACCCCCACCCCATACTCTTAAACTAAGCTCCCTCTTGAAATCTTGTAAGCCAGTCACTTCATGCCTTTATCGCCTCCTCATTTTAGGTAGCCAGTGTCTAAGTTGCCCGTCCCTATCTACCTTGTGTACAGACGGGATAGCATTGATACTTGATGTGAAGACTCCTTCCCTCTCTGTTGGTATTTAGAAATGCTACCGCTGTGAGTACAGGTTAAGTTATTCCATGGTACTTTTAATATTCTTCTCCAACACCATAACTCAAATGCATCATTTCTTCTACAATAAGAAACTGCGGGAGGAGACTATTTCAGTAAGAGAAATCTCAGACGTCGGGTTAAGGGAAATACAAGCAGTCTATTTTGCTGGGTGTTTGCAGAGCAGGGAGGAACACTTGGGGGGCAGTTATTGAATACAAGGGTGGATAACTACACAAGGAAACACACTTTCAGTCACTACTTGGTTTTATGTTACTGCTCTTTGATGTGGTGCTGATAAGCACTGAGCTGCTAACCGCAAGGTTGGTGGTTCAATCCCACAAGTCATTCCTTGGAGATGGCCTCTGTGAGTTGGAACCGACTCAATGGCACTTGACAACAACAGCAAATAAGCATTGGACTGCTAACCATAGGTCAGCAGTTCAAACCCACCAGTCGCTTCTCGGAAACCCTGTTAGAGTGCTGTAAGTTGGTACCAACTCCATGGCACTTAACAGCAACAACAACATATGTTGTGGAGGAATCGTCTAATATTTGGAGGAATCCCTGCACCATGCAAATGGTTAACACTCAGCTGATAACTGAAAGGTTGAAAGGTCCAAGTTCAACCAGAGATACTTCAGACAAAGGGCTGGTGATCTGTTTCTGAAAACCCAGTCTTTGAAAACCATGTGCAGCCCAGTTCTCCTCTGACACCTAAGAGGTTGGTATGAGTCAGAATTCACTCCATGGCAACTAGGTGGATGGTACATATCGTGGATCTTTGTCAGAGAAATGCAATAAGGAATACTCTAGACTGTCAAGCTTCCACTGGTTTACTTTAGTCATTGCTTCAGCTCTTCTAAAAACACGCTCTGGAACAAAGAATGCTGTTTGGATCATATGGCAATTCAAACAATGCCTACTTTTTTCTCTCTTTTTTCTTTTCTGTTTCCCAAAGAACAGGAATTCACTCTTCAAAGTCGACTGGTGTCTTTGCACTACCTTCTGTCTCTGGTGCAGGCTTGGTAGCCTTGCACACAGGAAGTGAATCCCTCCTAGCAAAGACAGTCTTCTATTGGCTGTCTCTGCAGAAGGTCAGCTGCGGGTTTTCCTTATAACTGAATACTCCCCAGAGCTTCAGCAGCAATTCCAGCTGGAGTTTCCACATGTTGTAGATACAAGTCCGATGAGGTTTCAGGTTATTTTGGGGTCTACCTATTTGGATCTAAAATCCTTCTAGTCTTTTTACCCCTGATTGTGTGTAATGACACTATTTGTGTACCCTATTGATGGTACTTAAAAGGAGGTCAGAACAAACGCAGTATTTAATGACCATGTCTGCATTACTGGATCCTATCCAACAAGTTCTTCAATGTCTGTACTGTGCATCTTAATTGTAGAGGCAGGATATCTGAATGTCGTCCAGCAGGAAACTTTCCATGTGGATTACTTTTGGGGAGAGAGGGGAGGAAGGTGGGCAGCGAATTTCACTATGACCTTTGCTATTGTTTATTAGTGCCATCGAGTTGTTTCTGACTCATAGCAATGCTGTATAGGGTTTCCAAGGGGCAGGTGGTGAGTTT